GACCCAAGCCACTCAAACCGTTTCACTATCGCAGATATGTGGATAATACTTTCACCATATTCAGGAGTTCTGATCAAGCTTCTCAATTTCTTATGTACTTGAACAGTAAACATAACAGTATAAAATTCACTGATGAACATCCATAAGACCATCAACTTTCATTTCTGGACGCTTTGATTTACAATAATAATGGCCATTTCTAATGTGAAATATACCATAAAAATATTTACTGGTTTGTACTTTGATTTTGCAAGTTTTATACCAAATGGTTTTTGTTTGTTTTTTAAACACTTGGTTAAAATTTTGTCCCATCTTGCATATAAATTATCTAGCATGCACAAAGAATTCAATAAAATCAAAAAATTATTATTCAAAAATGGATTCCCTCTTTATCTTATTGTTTGTTTGTAGTTATGAACAAAGCTACACAATGGGCTATCTGTGCTCTGCCCACCACGAGTATCGAAACCCGGTATCTAGCGTTGTAAGTCCGCAGACATACCACTGTTCCACTGGTGGGGGGGGTTATGTTATTGACAGAATACTTCATAAATATATAAATAAGCGCCATTTTAGTACACTATTCATATATCACATTGTCACACACTGCTAAATATTTATTGATCATTCAAAACATTAAGAAATACAGTTCGTGAGGGTTTACTCTCAGATACCAATGAGATGTGTTTTTAAGCCTAATCGTCACCTACTATATTATTTTTAGAATTAAAAACCGTATTCTTGCATTAAAGTCACTAAATGTAGTTTATTTGTGCCTGCTGCTACCGAGTCTATTAAAAGAAATTGTTAACCCGTGTGAATCGAACATGTTAATTTGAGATCTCCGAATACGTTGAGCATCCTTGAACATGTCCTATGTGAACATATGACGTTTTTGTACATTCGAGCTACTTTAAGATCTTAACAAAGTCCAGCTATGGACAGAGCCTGCTCATTCACAGACTTAGGCCTCGAATAAACTAAGCAGGCTCAGTTACTTCTAACGTAATAAATCCATCTTTCGTAAAATGGAGTGGTGCAAGATTTAATGAAATATTTAAAGTTATAGATGATTAAAATGATTACAAGTTCCTCGTTTTTTTCAGGGGATTTTGTTGTTTTATCATTTATTTGTCTGTTTGTTTGCCCCCCTTAAGGTTTAGCGGTAAGTCTGCGGGCTTATAATGCGAAAAATCGGACTTCGATACCCGTGATGAGCAGAGCACAGATAGCTCATTGTGTAGCTTTGTGTTCAAAAAACAACAACAAACCAAACTGTTGTTTATGATACATGGACCACCTTTTGCTTCATAATGTTTTAATAGAAAGCACGTGTATAACAGAATGTGTTAGTACTCGTTCACTACTAGTGTGATCCACTTTGTGTTTTACCTATTACAACATTCAATGTAAAGAACTGATCCAAACAACTGGATGAAAACACTCATGTTTTGTATATAATACACAAGGATCTCATAATTAGTAAGTGAGATTAATAGCAATATTTAAGATGTTATTAGGGGCCCTGTAAACAACAACGTCATGGACCCACAAGTAATTGGCTTAGAAACAGTTAACTCTATCAGCAATTCTAGAATTATGAGAATTAAACAAACTACAACTATAAATTTCATATATTTTTCTTATCAACTAAAAACAAATACAAGAAATTATAATATAGCACGAACTTTAGTTATCTTGCCTTCCAAATTATAATATAGTATGAACTTTAGTTATCTTCCCTTCCAAATTATAATATAGTTTGAACTTTAGTTATCTTCACTTCCAAAATTATAATATAGTATGAACTTTAGTTATGTTCCCTTCCAAATTATAATATAGTATGAACTTTAGTTATCTTCCCTTCCAAATTATAATATAGTATGAACTTTAGTTATCTTCCCTTCCAAATTATAATATAGTATGAACTTTAGTTATCTTCCCTTCCACAAAACCAAAACACTAGTTACATTTAAGATGTTCAAAGATCTAGGATTAAAACAGCATTTTGAATGGAAATAATGACACTGCAAATCATACCAGGTCTATTATTATAAAAAAGAAAGACTGTATATACAAGCTTCTATTAAACTTGACCTCCATCCCCTTGGCTGAACTGTAAATTTGAGGGCTGTAACACTAAAACATAAGGTTCGATCCTCGCAATAGTCATAGCTTATAACTCAGCATTTAAACAAACATATATCAATCTTACTTTTTATTTTTGATCCTTACATATATATATGAATAATTACGTTTCTTAAAAAACATAACGAATCTCGAGTTGAAAGCTGTATGAATATTTGAAAAATATCTTAGTGAGTAATTAGTATTAATGTTGGCTTAGCTACTTTAGGCTACTAATCGTAACAACAAGTGATATCCAATTACCAAAAATATAATGTAAGTACATATCTTTTAAGGTAATTATCTCAGCTGTAGACATGAGTTTGTCTGTTTCACCTTCAACTGTATTCGATTTTCAGATAATTGAAATTTTGACAAACACTGTGAACAACACATGGTAAGAATATAACTGTTATATTTTTTGTCTTATCTATTTTTTTATCTGAAATCCTTCGACTCACCTAAAGTGTTGACTACAAAGATAAATTGGTTTAATATTAGAGTATCTCGTACCCATGAAACAACTGATTATTAGATACAGTGTTTGATTATCTGTATTCCGAATGTTATGCGATTATCTGTCTATCTTATAATAAACAACAGATAGGCTACTGAATTAACTACGAACAAAACTACCCTTAAAATGAAAATTGAAAAAAGAAAAAGATTAATTATGAAATTATCCCTGGTGTTACGAAATATTCAATAAAAAATTGGATTACAATCTGAGACCATAATCAGTTATCTATATATTAGATCACTCTATGAGATAAGAAACAATTTTTACGATTTTATATGATTTACGCAAAATGGTGAATGTAATTATGGTGATATTGGTGATAACACGAAAAAGTGTGTTAGATAATCTTTTCATTGATGAATTTCTCTGAGAATGTTTTTGGAGATTGGATTATTTACTTGAGAATTTAGACATTTGTTTTATAAATGATATTTTGTTGCCCATAGTCCCAATGAGTTTCTCTTGTAGTAGCAGCACCAGATGGGAATGAAATAAAGGTTGTTTCCTTAAAAAAACCATGCGATGGAAAAACACAAAAATATGGCGTTTTGCGATTATAGATGAAACGTCCAACAACAACATAGAATTTTGCGGTTGAAGATGAAAAAGCACAACATACTATGGCACTCTATAGTTTAAGGTGGAAAAGTACGACAATATGGCACTTTGCGGTTGTAGATGAATAAATATAACATGATGGCATTTTGCAGATTTAGCTGGAAAAGTATAACAATATAGCGTTTTTTGTTATTTGATAATTTCTTTTCTTCATCAAAACGTGAATTTCATTGTAAAGGCGTTTGTGGTGAGTAAAGAAATAAACATCTGAAACATACAAATTATGACACTGTGAAGTTTAAGCAGTTAATGTACAACGCTATGATACTGTGAAGTTTAAGCTATTAAAGTACAACGCTATGACACTGTGAAGTTTAAGGTGTCAGTGAACAACAATATGGCATTTTACGATTCTAGATGAAAAAGTACAACGCTATGACACTGTGAAGTTTAAGCAGTTAATGTACAACGCTATGATATTGTGAAGTTTAAGCTATTAAAGTACAACGCTATGACATTGTGAAGTTTAAGCTGTTAATGTACAACGCTATGACTGTGAAGTTGACGCTATTAAAGTACAACGCTATGATGCTGTGAAGTTGAAACTATTAAAGTACAACGCTATGACACTGCGAAGTTTAAGCTGTTAAAGTTCAACACTATGACACTGTGAAGTTTAAGCAGTTAATGTACAACGCTATGATATTGTAAAGTTTAAGCAGTTAATGTACAACGCTATGATGCTGTGAAGTTGAAGCTATTAAAGTACAACTCTATGTGGCTCGGAGGTGATAAATGATCTCAACTCATCAACACAAATCACACACTCAATAGCATATAGTGGCGAAGTATAATTTATAAAGTTATTTCTGAACCAAGCCTAAAGTATTGCATTATCCACCAGCTGTAGGACCAAATAAACAAACAACAGTGTTTAATAATGCTTGGAGACGGCTTGAACGGGTAATGAAGAAAAACTTTAATATAAGTTTAACATAACAGCAAATGTACAACGTTTCGACAAGGTTTTGTCATCATCAGGTACAAGTAGTTTACACTGACACAGATATATATATATATATATATATATATATATATATATACAGTATAGAACAAAGGGGTCACATAATGGTTGGAGACCATCATGATGACAAAACCTTGTTGAAACGTTGAAAACCTTGT